CTACTCGGGGGTTGCTACCTGGAGCTTCTGCAAATCCGAAAACAAAAAGAGAAATTAACTAAGGAGGAAGTTGTTGTTTCTTTCTTTTATCTCGTAAATGAGTTTCGGAACAGCTTGTCATTGCCAAGTTTACCATTGGAAATTTATCGTTCTTAGATAAATTTGAGCTGAGAGAGGCAGGCCTGAATGTGGATACTATTGTCTGATTAAAATATCATGTTTTAATAGCGCAGAACAAGAAGCAATGGGTGGAAACTAATCAAGGCGAGAAGCAACTTAGAACTAAGGAGAAATTTCCTGACAGTTAGAACAATTAATCAGTGGAACAGCTTGCCACCAGAAGTTCTGAATGCTCCAACACTGGAAGTTTACAGAAGATGGTGGATAACCATGTGTCTGAAGTGGTGTAAAGTTTCCTGCCTAAGCAGGGGGTTGGACTAGAAGACGTCTAAGGTGCCTTCCAAGGTACCTTATTCTAATTCTAATTCTGGAGCAGGAATCGCCCGCTGAGAAGTGAGGAGCCTGCTCAGGTCCTCCTCCGGGAAATGCGCTAACATCCTCGCAAAGGCCACCATGGGCTGTTTCTCTAAATCACTGTCTAAAACCTGTCTTCTCCGGAAGATCTGCCAGGCCGAGCCTGCGTTTGGGGAACCGTGGGGAGCTCGCCAACAGCTTCCCATGTGGGGCCGGGCGTCAAGGAAATGGATGACCGTCCTGTCCCCCGATAAATAAATCACCTCTATTTGCATCTGGGCACTCCGTCCATCTACTTTCCCCTTTGTTTGTTTCCATCTCATTGCATCTTTCCTTCTTCGGCTGAATTAACATCCTGCTTTCTGCTTAAGGGGTTGTTGGAAATTATAGTTAAAAAAAAGGGAAATTTTGTACTGGGTGCTCGACAGGTTTGAGTTGCTGGGCGATAGAGGTAACTCTTGATTTGCAACCAGCTGTTAGTGACCATTCAAAGATATAACGGTTTAGTGACTGTGGAAAGTTACTAAGGCACCGAAGTCAGGATCATTTTTCACACTTATGGACTGTGGCAGCATCTCTTTGGGAGGAGAGAGAGGGAGAAAAGGAAGGATGGAGAGAGAAGGGAAGGGAGGAGAGAGGGAGAAAAGGAAGGAAGGGGAGAGAGAGAGAGAGAAAGGGGAGAGAGAAGGGAAGGAAGGAGGGAGGGGGAGAAAAGGAAGGAAGGGGAGAGAGAGGGAGAAAAGGGAGAGAGAAGGGAAGGGAGGAGAGAGAGGGAGAAAAGGAAGGAATGGAAGAAAGGAAGGGCAGAGAAAGAGAGGGAAGGGAGGAGAGGGAGAAAAGGAAGGAAGGGGAGAGAGAGGGAGAAAGGGGAGAGAGAAGGGAAGGAAGGAGGGAGAGGGAGAAAAGGAAGGAAGGGGAGAGAGGGAGAAAAGGGAGAGAAGGGAAGGGGGGAGAGAGAGGGAGAAAAGGAAGGAAGGAAGGGCAGAGAAAGAGGGAAGGGAGGAGAGGGAGAAAAGGAAGGAAGGGGAGAGAAAGGGAGAAAGGGGAGAGAGAAGGGAAGGAAGGAGGGACAGGGAGAAAAGGAAGGAAGGGGAGAGAGAGGGAGAAAAGGGAGAGAGAAGGGAAGGGAGGAGAGAGAGGGAGAAAAGGAAGGAACGGAAGGAAGGAAGGGCAGAGAAAGAGAGGGAAGGGAGGAGAGAGAGGGAGAAAAGGAAGGAAGGGGAGAGGGAGAAAAGGGAGAGAGAAGGGAAGGGAGGAGAGAGGGAGGAAAGGGAAGGAAGGAAGGGGAGGGGAGGGAGGGAGGAGATGGGAATGACAATGGAAGGAAGGAAATAAAGGAAGGAAAATAAATCCCACTGGTCACATGATTAAAATTCAGGCGCTTGGCAATTGCCATCTATTTATGACGGTCGCAGTGGCCCAGGGTCAACCTTTTTAGCAGGGGCAATTCTAATCCCCATCGTGGTCGTGAACCAAGAGTTTGCAAGGAAGAATGACAGCTAATATATATTGAGCAAGGTACCATGTATACTGTACATACATACGTATGTGTGTTTATGTATGTATGTGTTTGTGTGTACACACACACAGACACAGAAAGAGAGAGTATCGGTGGTACCTTGCTCAATAGTAGTAACTGTGAGAGGGATCTTGGAGTCCTAGTGGACAACCAGCTAAATAGGGGCCAGCCGTGGGCAGCAGCTGCCAAAAAAGCCAACACAGTTCTAGGCTGCATCATCAGAGGGATGGAATCAAGATCACGTGAAGGGTTGATACCACTTTACAAGGCCTTGGTGAGGCCACAATTGGAATATTTGCATCCAGTTT